AGCACCGACGTCAACATCGCTGCCTGCGACAAACGCCAGCGCCTACACCAGCGCCGACGCCGGCGCCGACGCGAGCACCAACGCCGGCGCCTAAGCCGGCAACAACGCAGGCACTCACACCAGCACCGACGCGAGCACCCAAGCCAGCCCCAACGCCGGCGCCTACGCCAGCGCCTGCGCCATCACCGTCGCCAGCATCAACGCCCGCGCCTACGCCGGCACCAACGCCAGCGCCCGCGCCAGCGCCGACGCCAGCACCGACGCCAGCATCAACGGCTTCGCCTGCGCTGGCACCAACGCCTGCGCTTGCGCCAACACCGACGCGGGCACCAACACCAACATTCTTGCATGCGCCAGCGCCAACGCCGTCGCCACCGACGCCAGCGCTGATGCCAGCACCAACGCCGGCGCCTGCGCCTGCATTAACGCCAGCACCCACATCAGCACCGACACCAACGCCAACGCTGGGCACCGACTCTGGCGCCACCGACGCCAGCGCCGAGGCCAGTACGAACGCGGCGCCTACGCCGACTCCAACGCCAGCGCCTACATCAGGGCCTACGTCAGCGCCAACGCCGGGAATCCAGCGCGCTGCAGGGCCGGCCCACCGTCCAGCACGCTGCACTCCGCGTCTGGATCCCGCAACGCAAGCGCCCACACCAGCGCCGACACAAGCGCCGACGCCAGCACGAGTGCCAGCGCCTACACCAGCGCCGACGCCTCCACCGACGCCAGCAGACCGGCTGGTGAGCTGCGCGGCTCAGAATTTCCCCAGGAGCGAACGTTGGCGCTCATGCCAGCGCCGACGCCAGCGCCGACGCCGGCATCAACGCCTGCGCCAGCGCCAGCACCAACGCAAGCGCCTACACCAGCGACAAAGCCAGCACCGACGCCATCGCGAGCACCAGCCCCGACTTCCAGTTCCAGTATCCGACGCTCCACGTGCCCAGCTACCCTGCGCGCAAATTACTTGCCGCGCGCTTTGGTTCTAGTTTGCTCACGGAGAAAATATATCACACCGCGCATGTCGGGGCGTCATGGGGCCGCAGCTGGGTGGCCGGAGCTCGGGGGCAAATCCTGCCCCCCTCCACCCAGTGCGCATACAAATGACTCGGAGACGGCGCGTAGGAACACCAGCACTAGCACCAACGCGAGCGCCTTCGCTGGCATCGAAGCCAGCGCCGACACCAGCACAATCGCCGACAATTACGCCAGCGCTGACGCTAGCACCGACGCCAGCATGAACACCTGCGACTTCGCCTGCACCGACGCCAGCGCGCTCACCAACGCCGATGCCAGCACCGACGCCAGCGCGAACGCTGGCGCTTGCGCCGGCACCAACTCCAGCGCCTACACCAGCACCGATGTCATTACCAACGCCAGCATCGACGCCGACGCCTACACCAGCACCGACGCCAGTGCCGACAACAGCGCGAACGCTTGCGATGGCGCCGGCACCATCACCAGCGCCTACACCAACGCCGACGCCAGCAATGACGTCAGCACGAGCAACTGGCGGTACAAATTTGAACTCACTTTTTTGTTCGATCCAACGGCCAATGACCTTTACGCTATAGGCCACGCGGCGGGGACTACACTCGGTTCGACTCAGTTGAGCGACTCGACAACGACGGCCACTTGCTCCAGAGACATGTCGGCCATCACGAATTCGACGTGCAGTTCCGGCACCGGCGGTACATCATTAAAGAGCGGCACGACCATGACGGCCACCAGTTCTGGCGAGATGATGGCAACCACACGCTCGACGAGTGGTTCGAGTCCTAGCGGTCCGGTGCAACATCGAAATGTCACGGAGTTGGCGCGCCACGGAACTCTACCCCACATATCGTGTGACGCTACGCCTTCGTCAGCACCGACACCAGTACCGACGCCAGCCTCTATGCCAGCGCCTCCACCAGCACCGTTGCCATCAATCACGATGGCACCTACGCCAGCGCCGACGCCAGCTCCGACGCCAGCACTTGGGCCCGCGCCTACGCCGGCACCAACGCCAGCGCCTACACCAGCGCCGACGCCAGCACCAACGCCAGCAGCACGGGTGCACCGGGAAGCTGCCTAGCTCACCGGTGTTCCCTCCAGCCCAGACGCCAGTACCGGTCCCACCGGCAAGCCCGATTCCCCCACTCCGACGTCCAACCCCGACGCCAGCACCAACGCCAGCGCGTGCACCAGTGCGGACGCCAGCCGACGCAAGCACCGACGCCGGCGACTATGCCAGCACCAACGCCAGCGCCTACACCAGCACTGGCGCCAGCACCGACGCCAGCACCAACGCTACGCCAGCACCAATGCTGGCGCCTATGCCAGCATCGACACCAGCACCCACGCCAGCATCGAGATGAAAACGACCGATCAGGAGGGGGCCACCACCGAAGTTCGACCACGACAGGCACCTTCTTCCCGCCACGAAGGCCAAGGTCCGTGAGTCGCACTTTTGATTCGCCCCACCGCCTTGGGGGCCCCGCGCCTGGGGTGGCAGGGGACCGCTGCGCTCTCCCCCCCTCCTTCTGCTGCTGCGGCCTCCTCCCGTCGTCGTCGTGCCGCCGCCGCCTCCGCCGCCGCCGCCCCCTCCTCCGCCGCCGCCGTCGCCGTTCTCGTCGTCGTCCTCGTCGTCGTCCTCGTCTCGTCGTCGTCGACGCCGTCGCCGCCGGCGTCGTTGTCGTCGTCGTCGTCGTCGTCGTCGTCGGCAGCGTCATCGTCGTCGGGGTGCGGTCCTCTCCCTGCCTTGGGCTTGTGGCCCCCTCTGGGGGGGTGGCGTCCGGTGTAGTGCTCAGTTCCCCCGCCCCTCGACTCCTGCGTCCTTCCCGTTTCGGTCACTGCGTTGTTTTGCATGTTTTGTTAGTTTTTTATCCGTGCGCTGTCCCCCGATCTCGGGGGCGGCGTCCGCCGCCCATGGGGAGACAGGGACGGTTTGCTCTCGGAGCTTCCCGTGCCCTGCGCCCTCCTCGCGTGGCTTCAGAACCATATTTGATCGTGGTGTTCGCTCTCGTCCTCCTGCTTCCTCCTCCTCCTCCTCCGCCTTGCGTCGCATCGGCAATCGTGGCACTAGGTGCCCGCCCTTCTGGCGAAGCGGCATGGCCCTTCCAACCAGGCTAATTCGGGGCCTACTTCAGCCTGCGGCCCCAGTTTGCACTAGACTCGCGTGGGACTCCTGTGCGCGCGCCGATTCTGGCACTGCCCAGAGCGTCTGGTCTTCGCACGCGCGAGGTGCTCCGACGAGCATCCGGTGGCTTGCCACTCTCCTTGGGTGTCTCTCCTTCTTCTCCTCCTTCTCCCCCGTCCCGCGCTTAGTGCGACGCGCTGGCGTCCACCCAGCAACGGTGCTGTCAGGTGTTGATTGTTTCGGCTGGTTGCCCATTCGCGTTCTTCTTTTCTCCTCCTTGCCCTTCGCTGCCTCTCCTGCCTCCTAGCTGCGGCCCAATGTTGTCCCTTTCTTCATCTGAGTTTCGGGTTGACCCTGCAGGGTAATCCACAGGTGTCGCCGCAGCAGTTCTTTAATCTGATGGCCGCCGCCTCGCGCTTTCTCGTGGCCTCCTCCGCCGCTCGGCTTCTGGCATGGGCCAGCTGCCGCGGGAAGCGTGTAGATCGCTCACCGTCCGTGGTCCAGGGAACCCGCGAGCCACCAGAGAACTCCGAATGGGCAAACAAAAACTGTATCCTTGTGTGCTTGCCATGCACGCACGTTTGGAGGCAGTCTGTACAACTTGTTTCCTATTATGTGACCCTGGCTTCTGAGACAGCCTGCTTCCATCAGCGACCCCCCAGAGACACGATCATTCCATTCAGCTGTGGTGGTGACTGGGCGGCAGGCGCGCCCTTTGCAGGTTCGGGGCTGCCCTATAGAACCCTGGGTCGCGGCCCTAGGGTGGCACATTATTCTACATCGCGTATGAGCTTGGTTGCTTACGTGGAAGGTGCCACTAATCGTCATTTGCAACACTTTAAGCCAGGCGACCCTTGCAAGTGCATTGCCGTGGGCAGCCAGCAAGATAGGTGCTAGCCACTCACATACGTTTTCCTGTTTCACACACGCAGCCTCGGATGCAGCCAGGCAACAGCACTTTGGCGACAGCCACTTTTCCAGCACATTCACAGCATAGCCATTTAGCAAGACCTGTGCCAGTCTCACATACGCTTTTCCGTTTCATACAGCAGTGGATGGGGAGGGGCTTCTTGGGTGGAGGGGGAGGCGCGGGGACTGGGTACTACGAAGCGTCATTGCAACACTTTTAACCAAGGCGTCAGCAGATGACACAGCGTGGCCAGCCAGCAAGACATGTGCCAGCCACTCACAGACGTTTTCCTTTTTTTCGGATTTAGTTAAGCTTCGAATTACCTCACATGAAGCGTCGGACACAGCCAGGCAGCAACACTTTTGATATTCACTGTTGCGCAGCAGTAAAACAGCAGTTCGATACATTTTAACAGGTCCACACGTGAGCAGTCTGCCCACGAAGGTCGTCACGTCTGGGGGAGGTGTGGGTGGCGATGCATATGATGGGTGGGTTGGGCGGACATGCTTGAGCACGTCATTTTATGTACTTGCTGCTCGGCGTAGCTCCTTGCACCTTACAGATTTTGCCGCCGAGGATACAATACAATTTGATTAAACGGGGTCTTATGTTCAACTACGGAAAGGGTGGTGGAAGTGGCTTTGCGACGAAGGTTTGTGCCTACCTCGAAGACCTGGCGGGCGCCTATTCTTCACCCTTTTCTTAGTTTCGCCTCTTTTGACTTAACCTTCCGCGGCGCCCGCCAGGTACCTTTTTGACCCGAGTCGTCCCTTATTTCTTCCATGTTGAATTTCGCAAAGGCGCAACAGGCTCGGACCCAATCTCGGTCGAATGTAAAAAAGGAGGAGGAAGAGGGGGAGGAGGAGGATGGGGAGGAGGAGGAGAAGGAGGAGGAGAGAGAGGAGGTGGAGGATCTCGAGGGCGACGGCGACGGCGACGAAGACGACGACGAAGACCCCACCAGAGGCGGAGGGCGGCAGGAAGGCTGGCCTGGCCACGCCGTGGGGCGAGTGGAGCCCCTCGGGCCAGCTGCCGCCGCCCCGGCCGAAGGCGCCGCCCGCGCCGCGGGGGGGGGGGGGGGGGTGCGCGAGGGGAGGGAGCGCACGCGATTAGCATCGGCCACCCTCCATCCCTCCCTTCTCACGGAGTCCCTGCCGCCTTCTTGCCCCCTCCTTGCGGCCCTTCTTCTTCTTCCCGACTGCACCCAACCACGAAGGCCGCAGCGAGCGAGGCACTGAACTAACAGGAGGGAGGAGGACGAGGAGGAGGAGGAGGACGAGGAGGAGGAGGAGGAGGACGAGGAGGACGAGGAGGAGGAAAAAAAGGAGGAGGAGGAGGAGGAGGAGGAGGAGGAGGAGGAGGAGGCGAAGGTGTACGTTCCCCGCACCTTGCGCCCTCCTCCTCATCCTGCCCACTGGCCTGGCGGGCCGCTCGCCCGTTTTCCTGCGCTCTCTCTCTCTCTCTCTTGCCCGCGGCCGCGCTCCAAGTCGGGGCCCGCTGCCTCGTGTGGGGTGAACATGGGCCCAGTGCAGCAGGGAAGCTTCAGAGAGAACTCCCTACTGCCATCAACAACGATGCCACCATTCCGCGTGACCCCCTTTGGACAACGCGTCTTCGGCGGGCCTCTCCATTGTGGTGCCGCTGATCTTGCGTCTTGCCTGCCACGGCCCGTGGCCCGCTTCGCTGGACTCTTCAGCACTTTTCCGTACACTGCGAGGGCTGCGGCTGCCGTCGCCCCATTTGCTCGGACTCCGAAGCTGGCGCGGCCTGCCCGCATGCAGTCGGAGCAGCCAGGCGCCCGCCCCGGCGCCATCGCGGAACGGCATTCGCTGCCAATGCCACAGTGCACCATTAGCCGGTGCAGCCATACCATGGCGCATTGGGTCTCCCCCCACCACACCATAGCGCATGTGCTAAGTATAATTCTGGCTTGCTGCAGCGCGCGTTTTCAGTGCTGTTTGTGCTTTTGTTGAGTTCCCTCCTTCCTCTGCCCCGCCCCTTCTCTCCTGCGCCAGCTCCTAAAGATTCACCCGGGAGGGAAGGGCGAGGACGGTCCTGCGGCAGCACATCTTGCCTACTCCCCAGTCCCATTTCATTCGGTGGCATCGCTCCTGATCCTATAAGGACCATTGTTGGCGCTCGGCCCTAGCAGCTGGCGGGTCAGCCAGCCTATTTGTGCAGATCAGTCGCGGAATTGTGCCAGCATAGTGATTACCAGTTTGAGCGTTCAGCTGTCTATCCGACGCGCGCTGTTTGTCAGGCCTCTCTTGCCCGCCACCATCTGCCCCGCAGGATTTGCTAGCGGGTCCGAACTGCCATTCCCCTATATTTCAGTTTCCCCGTCACCTGTTGTACACGCGGCGGAGGGGATACCCTGCGTGCTATTCGCATGGAGGGGGAGCGGGGTGGGTGGGTGACATTCTTAGGCTGGGGAGCGCTTGCTTGCCCCAAGGCGTGACATCCTGCTGCGCCGCAGCTTTACTACGTGGGCCAGTGCGCCTGGCAGCGCATCCGGGAACAGGTATGTGAACGCTTCGCGTAATCAGCTCAACCTCTTCAGGTGAGCACGCTGCCCTTGGTTGTAAAAGGTGATGCCAGGCGGGCCATGCTAGCGCGCTGGGCCCCTGTTGCCAAAAAGCTCGTCTGGCTTTTTTCCTGTCCTCCTGCTCTTTCCCCTTCCCCCCTCCAGCCGTCAGGCCAGGCATGGAGTGCCTGCCACCGCGGAGAAGCGGTGCAGCCTGGGTTCTGGTGACCACCATCAGGCCTGGCGGAGGCGGGTGGGGCCCCTGCCCAAAGTGGTGGGGGCAGCCCCTGTCCAAAAGTGGCATGGGCGACCGCCCTGGGGCGTTCCCTTCCCCAGGTGGCTGCTAGCCGCGTGGGCCCCTCGGCGGTCAGAGGGCTCCACCCTCTCGCTGTCGGCGGGGCGCGGCTGGCGGCTTTCTCCTCTTTGGATATCCCCCCCTTCTCGTCGCCACATTTTGTTGCCCAGCCATTCCCCCCACGGTCTGGGTACCGCGCTCAGGCGTGCGTGGGGGTGGGCGGTTCGCCTGCGGGCGGCTCATCGGGGTACCCCCACCCAGCCTTCCCACGGCCGTGGTTCCACGCCCGGCGCGCGTGGGGGTGGGGCGGTCTGTCGTGGGAGTGGTGCCCCGCGGAGGCTGATCGGGGCGGCACGGCCTCCTGGAGTGAGGCGTGTCGTTACGGATGGGCGCAGCTCGAAATGCCGTGGGGCAGGTAGTGCGCGCGCTGCTTGCCTTTCGGCCCGAAATCGTATGGTTCTAGGTGCATTGCTAGCGCTTGCTTTTTCTCACCTCCAGTGCTCTGCTCTGGTGGCCACCTTGGTGTGCTGTTGTCCATCAGGGTACGGTTCAGGTCGAGCTCCGCTCGTCCTGCTTGGCACGGAGTCACCTCCGCCTTGCCCTAGGCGAAGCTTCCAGGCACGGGTTGAAGTTTCTGATGTTAAATATAAGTATATGAAAACTCCCCCCTCCTCCCAAGGAGGAGGGGACAGGGATGCGAATCGTGCTGCAACCCATACGTTCTACAATCCGTGCCCCCATCCCCGCGAGCACGAAGAGTTACTCGAGGAGCGGGGAGAAGGAAGAGGAGGAAGAGAAGGAGGATGAGGAGGAGGCATGAGGTACGGGTAGCTACGAAGAGGGAGTGAGGGGAGGGGGGAGGAGAGGCGCAGGAGGTAGGGCCAGCTACGAGGAGGAAAAGGATGAGGGGAGAAGGACACCGAGGATCTTGATGATGATGAGGAGGAGAAGCAGGACGATAATAAGGAGGATGCGGAGGAGGAGGAGGAGGAGGAGCAGGAGGAGGAGGAGGGGGAGGAGGAGGAGGAGGAGGGGAGGAGGAGGAGGAGGAGGAGCTAGGCAGGAGTCAGGGGTAGGCACGAGAATCAGGAAGGATGAGGAGGAGGAGGGGGTATGAGGAAGGAAAAGGCGGATTATGTGGACACGGGATCTGCGAAAGAGGAGAGGGAGAAAGAGAGAGAGAGAGAGAGAGAGCGAGAAAGAGAGAGAGAGAGAGAGACAGAGAGGGAGGGAGAGGGAGATGGAGAGAAAGAGAGAAAGAGAGGGAGAGAAAGAGAGAGAGAGAGAGAGAGAGAACAAACAAAATCAAAAAAACGAGACACACACTACATGTATACATATATGTTTAGATATGTGCATGTTCGGCAGCGTGGGCCCCCAAGCAGTGTGCTTCTCGCAGATTAGAGTGTGCAATCAAGGTGGAGCAGCATACGTGGTGCAGTATGTGTTGTGCAGCAGACGTTGTACAATACATGTTGTGAAACATGGGTTGTGCTGTTTTGTGGGGCAACTTAGGTGGTGCAGACTATGAGTGTTCAATACTTGTCGTGCAACATTTGATGCGTAATCTGCGTGGTGTGCCACATGTGGTGAAATCTATGTTGTGCGCAGTCTATGAGGTGCAGTCGACGTGATGCAATCTATGTGGTGCAGTCTAGGTGGTGCAATCTATGCGGTGCAATTAGTTTTGACACACGAGTTGACACACCCCATTCTCTTGCAATCATCCCACCCACCCACCTGCAACTTGGTTTGCAACGCCCATGCGGTGGCAATTGCGATGCATGCTTGGCGTTGGCTGGTGCATCTCTGCGGCCGCGCCAACCTGAGCACGCGCGCGCAGCGGCCAGCTAGGTTGGGGCGGCCGACGCGAACGCGGTGGCGCTGACAGCTCGGCACATCCCAGCGGGCACTTCAGTTCGAGTCGCCGATCCGGGTGGGCGCGGTGTCATGGCAACGTCAGCGACGGTAGACACGATGATGGTCGTAGCGATGCTGGTGGCGATAATGACAGCGACGGCGGGGCAGCCAGTGACGGCGCCGACGCTGATCACGCCGACGACGATACGATGACGGCGTCTTCGCGAAGATGATGAAGGCTCTGGAAGGAATTCGAAATGCGCGCGCTGCAGGCGCGCGAGATTGGCCCGCATGGTATTATTAGACACGGATCGTGCCACCTTCGCACTCGCGCAGAAACGTTCAAACGATTTCGGCATGCGTGCGCGAAGCCCGTTTGGGTAGCATGTTATGTAAATGTTGAAAAATTATGGGTTCTTTCAGAGTTCGCAAGAGCGCGCGCGAGTTTTTTCCAAATCCATGTTGCGAAACCTTTTTTAAATAAAAAAGACGTTCGGTTTTGAAATCCTTGCCACACCGATGGTGTTTCCCCACATGTTTCGTGGGTTTTTGGTTTTCTTCCCACCCGCGTCGCACCCGCGTCTTCCTCACACCTCCCTCATCCCTCCTCCTTTTCCTCCTCTTCCTTTTTCCCTCCGCCCACACAGCCGCACGCACGCGCGCACCCGCACACACGCACACACCATACAACGATAGTGCACGCCTGGCGTGTTCACTGCATCATACACCCAATACGTATGCACAACATGCTGGGCACCCACATGAGACAAACGTCCCGGTGCGGCCGCACACGCATCATAAACATGCACATGACAAGCCGTAAACAAGGCGTGCGTTTCGAATTCGCAGTGCATGGCATACGTGGCACTTTCTCGACACCAGAAGGGACTTTCTCAATGCCACAAAGGGGTGCGCCGGGGGTGCGGTCGCTATCCGTCTCGGGCTCGGAAAGTGTGGCAGGCGTGGCACGTTCTCGACGCCGCGGAGGGCGCAGGGGGACTTCCTCGATGCCTCAGCGGGGTGCGCTGGAGGTGCGGTCGCTCTCCGTTTCGGGTTCGCCAAGTGTGGCAGGCGTGAGAGTTCATCGGTGTTGCAGGGGGTGTCATAGGGGAGCGGTCGCTATCCGTTTCGGGTTCGCAAAGCATGGCTGGCGAGGCACTTGGTTGACGCCACAATGGGTGCCTTAAGGGGTGCAGTCGCTATCTGTTTCGGACTCGCAAGCTGTGGCAGGCGTGGCAAAGGGTGCAGTCGCTATCCGTTTCGGGTTGGAAAGCTTGGCAGGGACGACATTTTCTCGATGCCACAAGGGTGTGCGCCGGGGGTGCGGTCGCTATCCGTTTCGGGCTCGCCAAGAGTGGCAGGCGAGGCACTT